GCCATGGTACCAAGTTTTTTCAAAAAGATGGGTACTTGTGCAATTGAGTCGGATCTTCCCATTCAGCCCCCGAAATACAATCGCGCAGAAAGTGGCACGTTACAGAAAGCAGTTCGTCACAACACTACCTCACTATTACACTCACCTCAATCATTATCAAAGCCAAGTGAGCATTGGAAACGCCCAGTTGTCGGGATGACGGAAACGCTTCTGCTGAGGTTGAGCAGTGGAAAGGTCCCACCCTGAATTGCAGGTTGAAAACAAAAAGCGGGGTGACTGCTCACGCTGCCCAGTTTCACAATGTTTTCACGTCGGCCTTTCGGCCTTGCCGCACTCGCCAACGCCAAATATTCTGGTGGGGTGAACAACTGCACACACTCGCCATTTGGTGGGGTGAGCGGCCACACACACCAACTTCGGCAAGAGTACTGGAAAATGAACTGGTGGGTGCGTCCACCAACCTCTTCAACCTATCCTTCTGCAGCCTCTTGAGCATGGTAGAGGGAGATCTTCAGGTGTCGATAGTTTGGTGGGCGGCCAGCAAGCCCCAACAAGTGGTATAAGTGGATTTGAAGCACGAACAGTACGAGAGCAGGTGAAGGTGCCGAGTGTGTGTGGCGACCATACCCAACACTCCCAGTTTTGTGCCTTGCTCTGTTAAACCCTAACCCCTCCGTCCCCCTTTCTAAATAGGTTTCGGCTCTGCTCTATTAAACCCTAAACCCTCTGTACTCCGTTCTGAATAGGGTTCAGGCCAAAGCAAGAGTCTGTCTTGCATCAGTGGACGCTATTGAGGTGATCGTCATGTGTTCGTCGTGAGCAAGGTGCTGCTGCGTTCCCCATGCAGGCTTGAGGGTGGTTCCTCCTATGTTATTCGTATCCATGGTCATTTACACACCTACCCCATATTCCATGCCTCTAACTTGGCACCATTTGCTAAGAGTGATCAATTTCCATCTAGGAGATCGATGCTGCCCCCAACCATGGATGGATACGTGGACATTGACGACATTGTGGAACATGAGGACATGGCTGTTCCAAAGCCAACAGGCAAAGGACTGCTGAAACCTCCAAGGGAATACTGGATCAGATTCAAGCATCATACAAATCCAAAAGAATATCGTTGGTTCATGAAGGAGGAGCTAATGAAGACAGCACCTCAGCGGACTGTCCAAGCTAAGGCCCCGGACCCTACCGGCCTACCCTGCACCCCTTGGAATTTTCTGCGGACTGTTTGGTGGGGCAGGTTTGTTCGAGCCTGCAGGCCTTGTGGTATAACACACAAATGGACATAACTTGAAAGAAGATGATAAGAGTTTTAATAATCACCTTCCTCCCCACGTCACCTTAACCCACACTGTTAAGGTTCTCAACCCTTCTACTCTTACGCCACTCAAGTTGAGGTAAAATCCTTCCCTACACTATGTTTTTAAATACTGCTCAACACAGTCTACACGCCCACCTCAGCCTAGTTCCCTCGGTCCTCGTGAGGTACCGTGGGAAACAGAAAATAAATCTCAATAAAATAAAATAAAATAAGATAAAAATAAGATAAGAATTTAAAAACCGCTTACGTACGTCACCTACGACGATACCGCACCGTTACTTTCGTATGTGGCTCTCTCATATTTTAACTGAGCTAAAAAACGATGTACTCGCACAAACCACACGGTCCGATACAAACACTTCATACCAGGTCTACAGTTGTCTATCGCGACACCGCGTGTTTCAAAAAGGACAAGTCCTCATGGCAGGATATCAGATATCAGATATCAGATTTCATGACTCCATGACTCCATGGTAGTCGCACTGGTCCTTGTCTGCTGGCCAGGAGAATCAGTGGACTTGCGTCCACTAGCCATGTGGAAGCGTCAGATATCAGACCAAGGAGGGAAAAAGGAGGGAAAAAGAGGGAAAACCAAGGTCGAATCCTCAGATTTAGATCCTCCGAGGGGGCTCACCCAGCATGTATGCGATAGCATCAGCTAACTTGTCCCAAAAGGGCGTTTTCATCCTTCTGGACATCCACCGGATCCGAGCCGTGACAGCCTTGCCAGGGTGCCCGATTTTCCTTAGTTCTTCCGCCAGAGTCAAGACACTGTAACATAACAGGCTTTCAGAGTTAGAATTCTGTGCGATCCAGAGAACCGTATTTGCTACTGTGGCAAATTTGGCACCTCGTGGCCCTAATGAAACAAAGTCTTTATATGTCCGGAAACAAACCTCCCCTTCGCTACAGATGGAGCCTGCATTCTTGAATTTGTGGCACATTAAGATGCCCGTGCTGCAAACGAGAAGACGTGTTTCCAAAAAATCAAGCACCCCACAGTCCGAATCAGTGCGTTCAAGCACCAACTCTGGAGGGTAGCACTTCGTCACATCATCCAATCTTTCAATAGCACGTAGTTCTTCCGCCGGGTCGTCTCGATCAAACAGAGAGACAATCAACAGATCGTCAATGTACCTCTTGCCCATAACCAATTTACAGTCGGTTCCCAGAGAGTTGATAAACTGAAACTCCGCCATCATACACATTACACAGGCCAGAGGCGGGCTCGCTCGCCCGCCCATTGGAATGCCATTGATCTGGCGCAGTGTCACCCCAGAAACACAGAAAAATGTATTCTCAAGATGAAAATCCGTTAAGGATATCAAACTCTTCAGGCGAACCGATCTCCACCCGGTTTCTCCGTATAATTTTCCAAACCGGGCGACTTTCTTCCTGGCATTGATTCTCACATTTCACTTTCTTCGCAGTGAAAAGTTCAACGAACCAAACGACAGCATCCCTAATACACTTGTGAGGAAGCTGGGTAAACATTTCCTTAATGTCGTAGAAGCGAGCCATGATTCCAAGGTTATTGCTAGCTCCTTCGATCTTGTCATTAACCAACTTGATTGCTGGTTGTAGATCGGTAGTGGCCCACATGTTAAAATGCGGAACCTTTACAACCCTTATCATCTCATTTAAGGTTGTAGATAGAATGTCAGAGGCCGTCCTAAACGGACTCTTATAGGAGGGAACAATTGGTCACTTCTTACTCTTATCTTTTTCCTTGGAGAGAATGTATGCGTGCTGCAGTTCACCCCTGTTGTCCCATTTCGCAATTTTTCCCAGTCCCCGCACATTAAATTCATCCTTCATCCTCCGAAGCACGATGGTTGATTCAGGAACTACTTCGTAGTTTGAATTGTCCAGGAACATCTTTCCCAGACACGCCATGTAAACAGGCGGGCATTCAACCCATGTCTCACTCGTGTTGCGATCCAGCGGTGACACAACCAAACCATCAAGCGCCTGTTTAACTCCATACACATATTCGCTTAGCACACAACCATCGGCCCTCTTTTCTCCCGCTTTAAGGACTGGTCTCAAATCCAAGTGCATTGTACCCGAGACAACACCCATGTCCCGGAGACAAGCAATAGCCTGGTTACAAGACTGGTTTAATACCTCCCTGCATTTCACTGTACCAGGGAAAGACACATTTTTAGAATTAAACAAAAAGGAGTCAACCTCTTCAATCTCACTGAGTTTTACCGCAACATGCCCATTTGTTTTGGGCAGCTCAAAGCTGGCACAGACACAACAGAATTATGTTTGTTGTGCAAACAACTTTTGGTTATGCAAGATGTCCCCAACGGATTTGGCCTTTAACCAAACCGCCTTGGTTCTTTTTGCAAACAGGTTCCCCAGTGTCTTTAACCTGGAACTCAACTTTCTGTTTATCAACAGTTGTGCAGAAAGGAATTTTAATCGACACATTCATACGTGGATTGATCTTAAATTTGTTCTTCAGGACTGTGGTTATGATCCCGCGGATGATCTGCCGACCCCGCTGCTGGTTAACAGTCTTAATTCCATCATTCAGTTCGACTAATTCATCAATGCTCAGTTTAAAGAGATCTCGCCTTTTCCAGGGGGCACGCAGCAGAGCGATTAACTCAGCTTTTTTGAGTTCAGTCCTGGTTTTTGTCCTAACAACTTCAGAAATCAGCCTCCCGTCCCCTTCCTCAATTAGGGACTTCGCATCTTTCAAGAGCATTTTATTACCCAAAATTTCGATCTTCGAAAATCCAAACAGCAGTGCGACTAGTCTCCATGGTTTCAATCATCTCCCTCCTTTATTATTCGAAACAAACACAGGTTCGCGCTTTCTGCCTTTAGTTAGAAGTTTAAGAATTCTCAGCAAGTCAGGCTCATAGGAAATACCGAGGGAAGGGCAGGAAAAGAAAACCGGCATAACAATATACGGGTGTTAGTACGCCGGAGGTGGATTCTTTCTTTTTCTTAGTTCGAATTCGACGTCCTTTTTTCCCACTCGTCAAAAAACGTGAGTTCAGGCCAGGGTTAAAACCCTGGATAACCGCCTGTTCGAGACTATCGAGATCAGCTTGTTTACCGAACCAAATTGGAACTGCAACAAACCAAATTGGAACTACAACATAGTTATCTACTCCCACCTTCCTCAGCCATACATGCACCCTCTGCTTGCTCTCCCCTTTGGCCGCCCTCTTATGCTCAACCCACCGTTCACGAAGCGTTCGAGCCGTTTTTCCAACATAGACCGCCTTATGGTTTAGAGACATAAGAACATAGACACAGCAAATCCCATCAAGTAATGTGTCCCATTCATCCGGTCGTAGTCTCAACCAAAATCTCAGGTAAGCTTTTCCCCACGCAAAATCACCCCTCAAACAGGCAAGCAGGATGATTAAGATGTGGATCCGATCAAGCAATACGCTGGTATGTCCACCCACATCATTCTTAAGACGCAGTATTCGAAGCACTGCTCTTCGGAGGGACCGTATGCTACCAAGGGTCAGTTTCCCTTCACAGGGTCCTCAACCACCGAATTCATCTCCATGCTTTCACCATCATTCGTACCATTGGCACTCGATGGTTCACCGCCTGGTCGAGGCTTGCCACCTTTGAGCATGTCAACATACTCTTTTTAGTCCAGTCGCGCCAGCTCCCAAGCGCCCATGTCTTTCTTAAAGTATTGGATGTTCTTTTGTTTGCACATCTCCTGCACGCGCGTTTAGTGCAGGGAAGCGTAGAAGTCTTAGGGCATCTTCATGTACGCGGCCAGGCTACCTACGTCGTTGTCATCTTCTTCTGCGTTCACCGCAGGCTGCATGGTATCGACGTCTTCTTCCCCTCCCACACCCTCAGACTCAGCGGACGGCTTTTCCAGCTTAGGTTCCACGACTTGGGATTTTCCCTTCGGGTCGCTCATTCCCTGCATTAATGCTGCAAGCATCATCTTGATATCCGCAAGTTCGCTACTACTTTCCATCTTCGACTGCAGGTTCTGTTTGACCTTGTCCGCGCCTTCTTCATCCGAGGAGATCTCGATACGCTTGGATTTAGACTTACTACCGCCATGCTATCGAGTCTTCACTCGATTAACCCCTGGTGAGCTGCCGGCTGGTGTACTCTGCCCAGCCCTCTTTCGCTTCTCACTGCTCGATAGTTCTTTACTCCCTTTCTCGAGGGCAAGCTTCTCCTCCCGTAACTTCTCCAATTCAGCTTTCTCCGTCACCGTAAGTTTGGATGTCTTATCGACCTCTTCAAGCCGATCAGCAATGAGTTTTAAGGAGCTTCCAAGCGTGGAGGTAACCCAAGCCTTCATTTCGTCGCTTTTTTCCGACGAAAGCACTTCAGCTCTGCTCGCCTCGTCTGGAAGTTCAACGATACGCACACTGGTCGCACGATTGCTAGGAACTCGACACCCGTTCGCCATCTTCTTATTGGCTTCTTCAACCGCCTTGTGCGTCTTGATCTCCTCGAGCAGATCCATATACTCCTTCGTGAAATAGGCATGCTTACCAGGTCCCGGAAAAGCGTTTGCAGCTGGTCCTTTTCCACCACCCCCGCCACCAGCCCCCGTCCCTCCAGTATGGTTAGGAACAGGGTTGTGAGGAGGCGGTGGGGCAGCCACCGGCTGAGGTGCCATGGCAATCCACGGCCCTGAACCAGTTCACTACCCTTGCGCAAGCCAAGGTTGCATACCCCACTGTCCCGCCATAGGAGGAGCAGTATGCGGCACATATTGCAACGGCGCCGATGGCATTGAAGGCACAGTCGGCATAGTAGGCACAGTCGGCATAGTCGGCATGGCAGGTAGTGAAGGCATCGCAGGCATCACAGGCGGCGCATGAGGAGCAACCGTAGGAGCCATCGCCGGTACGTGCGTACCACTGTATTGATACTGTTGCGGAGTAACACCCGGAGGGAAGGAATTTCCTGCCAGATTATTCCCACCATATTGCATCGGTACGGTCTGCGGAGGGCCACCCGCATTCCTGGCATTTGAATTCTCCATCCAATAGCGCCCACAGTTCGACCACCTACCTTGTCGGTTCTTTCTACCACCTCGCCCCCGTCCAGACATGCGCTCAATAACGAGTGTTACGACAATCCCAACCCCGACAGCCCACTTTGTATCACCTTCACTTCGACTACGCCACTCAAACCACCTAAAGTTCCAAAGCATAAATCCAACAGCGTCGGAGACAACAACTTTATTCCTTATTACCCACACGCCGTACGCAAGGACACACCACTCGCCAACGTACTGGCACGCTATCGCAAGGCCAAACACATAGTAGGAGCGTACTCACATACTCCGTACTCCGCGTAAAAGCGAACTCCGATAATTAACTCAGATCGGAGAATAACACACCGCAATGGGAAGGGACAGTGCAGCACGACGAGCTAGCAGCTAGGTCCATGAATCAAAAACCGAATACACCCAGAAAGATAAAAAACTGCAAGCAAATGAATAAGTAAATAAATACAGTAACAATGATAGTAATGATCTCAATGACACGACACATCAGTGAAGTGATACGTTCATGAACTAATCAAGGCAATAAATGAAATAACGAAGCAATGAATGAAACAATGAAACAATGAAGCAATGAAGCAATGAAGCAATGAAGCAATGAAGCAATGAAAGAATGAAAGAAACCACAAACAAGCTCGATCGCTCACAGTAATCAGCGCGTGATCAACGAGCAGTAATTACATGAGAGAGAGTCGGCACCCTGGTTTCGTTCCCAAGCCACGCCAAGGTCGAAACTAGGGCTCAGTACCATAGTATAACACACAAATGGACATAACTTGAAAGAAGATGATAAGAGTTTTAATAATCACCTTCCTCCCCACGTCACCTTAACCCACACTGTTAAGGTTCTCAACCCTTCTACTCTTACGCCACTCAAGTTGAGGTAAAATCCTTCCCTACACTATGTTTTTAAATACTGCTCAACACAGTCTACACACCCACCTCGGGCTAGTTCCCTCGATCCTCGTGAGGTACCGTGGGAAATAGAAAATAAATCTCAATAAAATAAAATAAAATAAAATAAAATAAAAATAAGATAAAATTTAAAAAACCGCTTATGTACGTCACCTACGACGATACCGCACCGTTACTTTCGTATGTGGCTCTCTCATATTTTAACTGAGCTAAAAAACGATGTCCTCGCACAAACCACACGGTCCGATACAGACACTTCATACCAGGTCTACAGTTGTCTATCGCGACACCTCGTGTTTCAAAAAGGACAAGTCCCCATGGCAGGATATCACATATCAAATTTCATGACTCCATGACTCCATGGTAGTTGCACTGGTCCTTGTCTGCTGGCCAGGACAGGCCCTGGCCACGATCTGAACTGTGCGACCGGACCCTGAAGCAGGAGGCCAAGCTCTGGGGAGTCGTCGTGTCACACAGTCGCCACCAGCCAATGGCAAGGCTGTGAGCACCTCGATTCTGCGGTTCGGGGGCTGAGCGCTACGCTAGCGCCGGCAGCGCAATGGGTTTGCGCTGGGGAGGCGTGAATCATCCACGAGGAGAGTCCATGGTCAGACGGGGGAGACGCAAGGTGGGGCAGCGGGCGGGCGATGGTGGAGGGACGGAGGGGGGTGCCATGACCTCGAGTGAACGAGGCGACGGGCAAACGGAGGAGGGTGGGAGATGCAGGGCATGAACGCTGGCGGGGTGAGTGAGACACCCACTATCCGGGGAAGCAGGGGATGGAGCGCGCGTGCATGAGGCGACGGGTAGACAGAGGAGAAAGCCGCATCGATTGGGGGGAGGAAGGAGGGGTAAGGAATGACCATCCATCGCAGCCAAAGGAGGGAGGTGGGAGGAAACAGGTGGAGGTACTCTCAGCATGGATGAACCGCGGTTTCTGGTGAAGATCAGCTCGAACCTGGATCCAGGGAGCGTGGAGAGCTGATCAAAACATCATCACTCCGCGGAGCGTGGCGTGACACCAGAAGCAACGCACAGGGATTGGCGCAGCTAGATCTCTCTTGGGGCCCCGGGACTTACTGCCCGGTGGAGGGATCTGGCGGGTCGCTAACGTCGGTAAGCTTCAGTATGTAACACGGCGGTCTTCAACATCCAAATACATCAAGGTAAGTAAATCTCGCTCGAGGTTTCGTTTCTTCTCCTTTTGTTCCTCTTTTTCTTTTCTCGTTTTTGGAGCTAACCTGAATCAGAGCTCCCCTCACACTCTCGGGACGACAGTTTCGCGTGCAAATCGGGAAGTGGGAGTGTGCAAGCACACTCCGAGTGGGCATGTGTATCGGGTGGGAGGATTCTGCGGAGGTGGGCGAGGGCATGCAAGAGCACTACGAGGAATCTCGTTCTCCCCTCCTACGTGAGCAGTGATTACCCCCGAGGGGGGGAGTAGGAAAGAGGGAGGGAGAGAGGGAGAGAGAGAGGGATTGGGGTGAGAGGGAAGACTTGAGAGGAAGGTATTATGTTCTATGTCCTCGATACTCACTCTCTCGGGACGACAGCTTCGTGTGCGAACTGGGAGAGGGAGAATTGCGGGGGGAGGGGTGTGCAAGCACATTCTCGATCTTGCAAGGTATCATACTTCGGTCTCACACTCTCAGGACGACAGTTTTGCGTGCGAACCGGGAGAAGGAAGATGGCGGGGGGGGAGTGTGCAAGCGCACTATGAATGGGCATGTGCAGTGGGAGGGAGGAATCTGCGGAAGTGGGCGAGGGCATATAAGCGCACTGCGAGGAATCTCGTCCTCCACTCCTACGAGATCGGTGATTACCCGAGGGGGGGAGTAGGGAAGAAGGTGGGAGAGAGGGAGCGAGAGAGGGGTCGGGGTGAGAGTGAAGGCTTGAGAGGAAGAGGAAGTGGAAGGGATGGGAGTATGCAAGTAAACAGGAATCTGTGTATCAACACGCACAATCGGTGATTCTTTCTAGGCCAAGTATTTTCGATCTTGCGTGAGTATCATACTACGTTCTGTGTTGGAAAGGTAGGCAATCTCCGTACGCAGGTGTATTGGGAGGGAGGAATCTGTGGGAGGCGGGTGAGGGCACGCGTGTGTGAAGCGAGGTGAAGCATACTAGGCATAACATCTTCGATCAGGGAGAGAGGGACAAAAACTCTTGTCTGTGTAACGTACTATGGTCGGTGTCTTCGCTCCTGGAAACACACGTGGATTGCGGGAGGGGGGCAATTTTTGTGTGGATGTGTATTAGAAGGGAGGAATTTGCCACGCGCGTGCGAATCGGTTTGGTCTGATACACGGGCGAGGGCAGGCGCGTGTGAATCCGGTCGGCGACGATCACGGGATGTGGGTATTCAAGCGTGAGGAATCTCGTAGAAATCTCGCCGATCCTCCCCTTGGGGGAGTAGGGACGAGGGAGGGAGTGAGGGAGAGAGAGAGAGGGGTCGGGGAGAGTGGGAAGGCTTGAGAGGAAGGGAGAGTGGGAGAGAGGGGGTGAAAGAGAGAGAAAGGGAGGATCGGAGAGAAAGAGGGTTTGTGGGTGGTGGGCGCTGGCAAGTGCACAAATCTGGTGCAGGACAACGAAAATTCTCGCCTGTCCTCTCCCACGTGAGTGGCGGTCATCTTCGAGTGGGAGAGTAGGGAATCCTTGAGAGACGGGGGGCGAAGAGGGAGAGAGAGTGAGGGATGGGGAGAGAGAGAGAGTGCCTGCGAGGGTGAAATGTGGGTAAGAATAGGCAGCGGGACGGGAGGTCCTCCTCCTACATGACCCAGGGCTCACCCACGCGCGTGTGTATCGGGCAGGACTGATACACCCAAATTGGTGAATCATACCAGGCATAGCTTCTTCGATCAGGGCGAGCGGGTGTGAGAAGCTTGTACGCGTATCACACAACGTTCTGTGTCCTCGATCCAGGAAACACACGAGGATTGTTGGAGAGGACATCCCCTGGGTGCATGTGTATTGGGAGGGTATGCGCTCTACGAGCAATCTTGTTGAAATCTCGTCGCTTCTCCCCTCCTGCGTGATCCGTGATTACCCCCGAGTGGGACAGTTGGGAGGAGGGAGAGAGTGAGGGAGCGAGAGAGAGGTGTCGGGGAGAGAGGGAAGGCTTGAGAGGAAGAGAGAGAGGGAGAGCGGGGGCGAAAGAGAAAGAGAGGGAGAATCGGAGCGAAAGAGGGCTTGTGGGAGGGGGGGTGTGTAAATTTGGAGTAGCACAACGTGATTCTCTTTAAGTGGGAGAGTAGGGAAGAGGGAGGGAGAGAGGGGATTATCCTTGCGAGGCGGTGGGGGGAAGAGGGAGGGAGAGTGAGTGGCGGGGAGAGAGAGCAAGCCTGTGAGGGTGAAGCGTAGGCAGCGGGAAGGGCGGTCCTCCTCCTACATGACCCAGGGCTACCCTTAAGAGGGAGAGCAAGGAAGGGTGAGTGAGAGAAAGAGAGAGGGTGAGGACCGGGGAGGGAGAGAAGGTTTGAGAGGTTTGAGAGAGAGAGAGAGAGAGAGAGAAAGAGAGAGAGAGAGAGAGAGAGAGAGAGAGAGAGAGAGAGAGAGAGAGAGAGAGAGAGAGAGAGAGAG